TGCCTCAGTGAAGTGGTTCAAGGCTTCCAGCTTTTGCCCCGTCTGTAACTTTCCAGCAACAGATTACTTCTTAAAAAAAAAATTAAAAAAAAAAAAAAGAAAAAGAAAAAAAAGAGTAAAATTTGGCATTGAAACAGGAAATATGTGAACCTGTCACAGTAAGCAGTCTCAAAGGGCAAGCTGCTTTGCAGGAGCTAATTAACCTTAGGAAGTAATTACACAAATATGCAAATGTTGTTTAGATAATTCCGTGTGTTATCAACTCAGGTAGTCCATCATAACTGCAGACCTTGCAATGTCTAGGTGTTAGAATCTGGCATAGTTGATAAGGCTTCTGTTGCTGCATCACTTCAGCTTGGTATTTAACAATTAATGACTGTGATATTACATTAGTAAATTCAGCCTGGTTTTTTGAATGCAACAGAACATAATACCATATTCACTGTGTGCACACTGCTTATCTGCCTATTCCTAATGGCTCCAGCCATTAAAATGTTGCATACCTTTCAACTCTTAACACCAGCAATACTGGAAAAAAAGGACAGACCAAAATCTGTGGTCTCTTCCTCCACTTTTTTGTACAAAGGATGGCCCAAGAATTTACCCAAAATCATTTTGTTTTTTCAGGGACTTAAAAACTATTGCAGAGATATTTTTGTATCTGCAAGATGGCTTTCTCAGTGCACACTTTTTGAAACAAGATGAGGAGCAGAATTTTATAGCAGATTTTTAATGCAAATTTTACAACTACGTGGACATTATATACAATGATGCAAATACATAGACCTTGAAACAGCATAGTCATGGGCTGCAATTCGTGGTCTAAGGTCGTCACAAAACTAGGCCCAGCTGGTCTTGGATGGAGCAGCCCAGGATGTCCCTAACCTGTGCCAGGACTTGAGTTGAGGCCATGCAGATAGGCAAACAGCAACCTCTTCACTACCACAAGATGCTGCTTCAAACAGCTGTAGGAAAGGCTTTAGCCCTAGCATATTAAATGGCTTCATATATATGCGAAACATGAATTAATTAATCCTTCTCATACTCTTTTCACAGACTATACTATTAAACTGCTTGATTAAGCTTTTGATATTGAAAAGGTCCATATTAACCATTTATGATCATTTTCTGAGCAATTGTGATTCAATTTTAAAAGTCTGGATTCTTTATACATGGTTAAGAGATAAATAGTGTTTAAAACATATTGACAGGGGGGAAAAAAAAAGGCTTTTATCACGAGAAAAAATGAATCTGTTCTTAAACCAGTATTTGTGAATACTCATCTGTACCACATGAAATAATAAAAAGTTATTCTATTTGCAAGTGCTTGGTGGTTGTTTCTCGTTCCAAAGGAAAATGTCCATGTGGCTAGAGCATCTTTTTGATTAGCCCCACTCACCTGTCAATAACTGAATCAGAAGATAATATCTTGCTACTTATATTCTTATATAGTAATATTCAATATTACTTTTACAGATGCTCCCTTTTTTGCAGGATCCAGAAATGTGTGCCTTCTCTGGCATTCAGGAAGAGGAATAACTATAACACCAGCAATGTAAAATTCATCAGCAATACTTGTGTAAAATGATTTTAGCCACCTTTATCTCCAAGGCAATCTTCAGTGAGATTTGCTGCATGCCAGTATGACAGGTGTTAAATATCTGATAATTTCCACAGCATTGGTAGTCACTGATGGTAAATGAGGTATTATTCATTCTATTTTTATGGGTGAAAAGAACTAAAATGCAGTAGTTATTAGGAAAAAGACATCTCTTCATGTGTTAGTGAATTAAAGGGTAAATCTTGGTGTTCTGTTAAAAACAGAGGCACATAAGACTGTACATGATGGGAGTGCAGGTGGAAGTTGTAACTCCTGTGCTCAAAGCATCCTCTCCATTCCCCACCCAGGCACCACAGAGCTGGAGTGCGGGACTCCAGTCACGAGGTACCTGATCTGCAGCAATCAACAAGTGCCTGGTTTGGGGTTACTTTGCGTACACACGGAGGGATGCCTTTTCATATAATATGGTTCTTAATTTTGTTTTTATTTCTAGTTATATATTAGGTGGGGTGGGGAGAGGAGATTTTCAAAGGGTGGAGACCCATAGGGATGACATGCACACTTCCAAAGAATCAGACACTTATTTAGACATAGAATTAGCAGTTACAGATGACCAACTCTCAGCAGCTGGAAATTTAAGTTCAGCTTTCCCAGCACTTTTTCATCTCAATCTGTTTTATAAGTGAGAATGCATTCAGCCTCAGCTGCCTTCTGCAGTACATATCATGATTTCTCCATTCCTTTCGGTACAGCCACGTAGGTGATTATGTAAAACATGACCAAGAGGCCTCTGCTTTATGTAGTAACTTAGCAAGGTGGTATATAAGTGCATTCTATTCATCTGCAGTGAAAAGAAGCAAAGCAAGAGCTCTCTGAAACTGTCACCTTTCATACTGAAACTGCAGCATCTTGCATCATAATTTAACCCAGGCCAGGCAGAGGAAGTTAATCCTCATGGACCCAGCACAATTCAAAGTACTAAGGAGACCAGCCGTGCTCTGCAGTCAGCAGTGCCCACTCCCACAGCCAGATGTTTCTTGTACAGACACAAGGCTGGTTTATTCTCCATCTGAGTTGTTTAAAATATGGGCTTGTTATGGGGGAGAAAGTAAGCAGATGCTCTGAAGAAAGAGCTTTTCATCTAAACATACACAACTCCTCCAACCTCCTTCTCACACATATGTGTGTTTCTCACCTTGTTTAGGGTTTTGCAGAGTACATACAGCAGTGCAGTTTATCCCGACTTTTTGTGCTTTTCTTCACGAGGAACAAAGGAAGCTGTAGTTGCAGTCTACACCTAACTCATTCTAGCTCATTTCTTCTTGCTTTTGTAGAATCCTATTGAGTCTTCGTCCTGGGCTGTGAAGCTGTGCAATTAATGATTTGTTTTACTAGACGACTGGTTATTCTTTAATTGGTGGAAGCTTTTCTGGGCTGAGTTTCTGATTTGTTCTTGCTGCTGTCTTAGTCTTGTGGAAACCCTAAAATTGTGTGCTTTTCTCAGCAGCAACTGGAATAATAAATACAAAATACCAAAAAAAAAAAAAATTAACTAGAAACGAGCTCTGCTTTTTGTCAGAGTGTTAAACCTATACAAAAATTGCTGTTAAGAGAATTAATGGTAACTATTATTTAAAAACAAGTATCACCTGCATATTTAACTAAATCTTTTAGGTAGGTTAGTCTTTAAAAATTCTGTCAGTGCTTTAATATGCCTTTTCCATACTTATCATAATTAAAATACATCACTTTTCAGTAGAAAACTCCAGTTCAAGTTGCCCTTCAGCTTTACCTTAATAACTGGACTGCCAATCATATTTTCTCTCTGAAATTCCTTTTTAAAAACTTTCCTCTCACCTCACTTCCCTTACCTATGTCTACAACCAAATTTTAGGACAGGGTTGAAAGAAAATAAGCCTTATCTCATGTTGAGGTGGTTTGCAATCATTTGGTACATAGTTAGCTGAAACTATGTTCTGTCACTCAGTCAAGAGCAAAATCTGTCCACAATTAAAAATAATACCTTCAGTGCTTTTTGGCAAATTTGATTAATGTGTTTTAATAGCTGCTACCTTAGAGAGAAAAGATGTAAAACCCCATAATTGTTTTAAAAGCTCTGAGTCCAGATCCATGAGGATTTGTAGCCATCTCACTCTTAAACTAGGCATGACAATTGAAGTAATAGCCTAAATCCACCACATTATTTCGTTGTCTGTCTTCCCATTGATTTTAGACACTCCTAAGAGCTTAAATTCCCAAAACTGAGTTGCATGATGGAACTAAGACCTAAATCACTTCAGTGTTCTTGGTAGAGTTACAGTAATTCACACTATGTAATTAGCATTTTGTGATTGCCAGTGGCTTTTGCTGGTGTGTGCTTCACTTTCCCCAAGGAAATGAGGCTTTTGTGGTCTGCATCTGAGTCACCTAGGGGTGTGCAGTTATTGGTCGAGCAGGAAAAGGGGTGCAAATCCTAGAAAACATGACCTTGACTGATCAGCTCTCTGTGGCACAGAAGAGCCTGGAAAGCGCCTGCAGTGTTGTGCTGGAGGTGTGAAATCCTGGTGGGACAGAGGAGCTAGCAGAGCATCTTACTCTTGTCACCTGAAACTAGACAGATTTGTAGTTACTACATGGACAGCCTGAGAAATAAGCAAAATATCGAGGGGTACTGGGCTTTCTGAGAGCCTCTAAGCTACAGTTGGAAATGCACAACCCCTGTGTTTGAGAAGTGTACACAAAAACCAGTGCAAATCAGCACCTTCAGTGACTGTTAGGTTGACTGGCACTCACAAATTCTTGTTCAGTAGTAAAAAAAAAGCAAACCCGTAACTGCCAGAGACTAAAAAATAATGGCTAATGTGTAGGCAGTCAAGAAGTGTTTTATCTGTGCTATGTCTCATGGACTGCAGGTGCGAAAAGTAGCATTTGAAGGTGCATACACCATAATTTTAATGTTTGGCAGATTTCTGTTGGTCCATTATATGAAAAAAATCTAAAGACTGAAATTATATTTATATTGTTCCTACTTGCTTTTATTTGCTTTATAAGACCAAGGCTTAACTACTTTAAACAAACCATCAGTGAACAGTTGGCAAAGAGTTGTCAAAAGAATGAAAATCAGAGCAGTGGATCATCATTTCTTTGAATGCCTCTATTTAGCTGAATTGCCATCATGGTATTTAGACAAAATTTTGCAGATGCATAATTTTTCTTGCATTTATTAAAATAAGCTGCAATAAAACAACAATTTTACTGCCTTTAAATTCCAATCTTAAATTTTATTTAGACAAATTAATCTGTTATTTATTTGACACGGGAGTATGTTCATTTGAGGTTTGTTTTAACAAAACATTTTAACATATAAAAACACATTGCTTTTAGGCAGAATTGCCAGTTTTTAAAAGATAATTGTCGGAAACATAATTTCTTTCTGCAGGATAATGGATCTCCCGAAGAACATGCAATTTATGTTTGGGACCATTTCATTTCCCGGTCAGCTGCAGAGAACGTGTTTTTTGTTGCTCACAGTTACGGTGGACTTGCCTTTGTAGAGTTGGTAAGTGTGATTTCTCCATTGTCTTCTTTCATGAAGTCTTTCATAGATTTCTTAAATTCTTTGTGATCACCATCTTGAAAGCAGCCGCTTAGGAACAATTTTGAACCAATGGTCAGATGCAGATCTGTGAGGATTTCTTCAACTGGAAGGCCACTGCATTTTTCTCTGGTTTTGGGTTAGACAATAAGGTCCCAAGTGTTCATGAACCTGGAAGACAAAAGGAAAACAAAACGTATTGGATCCTCCTTGTCCAGGCTGGTGCCAAAAGGCAGCACTCAATGAGTTTCTGCTCCAGGGCAGAAAGACTGGAGGTGAAGAACATACAAGGACAGTTTTAAAGTAAAGTCACATTGACAAATGCACCTTTTTGCATGCAGATTGAACATGAGTGGAAATTTGGGAGTTTTACCCAATTTTGTAGTTTTTCCCCAAGAGTCTGTAGAAGTTGCTGGGAAGACTTTTTTGCCATTTATTAGGCTTGAATAAACCCTGCAGTGATGTAGGCTGGGGAGGACTCTGCTTGGTGTGAAGCTGATCCCTGATGCTGGGACTGCTGAACATCCAATTTGTTAGTCTTTCATCCTTTTCTCTATAGGCATATGTGTTGACCCCATATAGTATGCAAAGTTGCCTGTTGAATGTGTATACCATTCTCTTAGTGCAATAGTAGTCTCCTCACTTAACTGTGAAATTCTGGTGTAACCAGGGTGTTACCCCAGCATTTTATTTTATTTAGTTTAGTTTAGGTTAGGTTAGGTTTAGTTTAGTTTCCAGTTTTATTGAAGTAAACTTAAAAAAAAAAGTCCTAGTTAATTGTGGAAACATAAATTGCAGAACATTGACATTGGTTTTATAGACACAGGAAGCAGCAGGCGTGTATGTTCATCTTTGTCTGTAACACACTAGTTTAGTCTAACTGAAAGTCAGTAATGTAGTTTCTTCCTGAATGTAAGATGAATGCCTTAGTTAAGAAAAAGCATTCATGAGTATTTTGGTTTTTATCATGTGCTGCTCTAAGTAGCAAGAAGAATCCAGAGCAGGACCACTTGTATTATTTTTAGAACTGAAGATTTTGTTAGCCTTTTTCATTAGTAGAGATTAAGGCAATTTTGATTTTCCTTCTGCTTCCAGAAGAGTATTTTTAAAATATGTATGACATGCACAGATTTGAGACTTGAGAGCAGTTCAGCTGATCATTTTCCACAGTAATTTAGTATCAGGTCGATAAATAGTCTCAAAACTCAATTTTCAAGAGACCAAATTAGTGAAGATGAATAATTCCTTCTATAACCACAACTTTGGGCAAGAAGTAGGTTACATTTGTGGGCTCCTTGGATGCAGTGAAGGGTAGGGAGCATCTCCTCTGTCTTGGTTTTCCTCAGCTGTGATTTTCAGCTGCCCTGTGTGTTTCAGTCCAGGTTATTGTGGTGTGCCTTGTCTGTCCAAAGTGAAGCGTTAGCAGAATAGCTGTTGGTTTCGTAAAGACACATTGCTTGGGTCGCTGAATGCCTACAGATACATATTCTTAGCACAGGGCAGGAATAAAAATCAACTGGAGACTTTTCTCAGTGTTTCCTAAACAAAGTACTTATTCAAAGGAGGCTTGGAGAGTTTTTCCATCACATTTCAGTCAATGGCTCAGGGTGGCATGGGTGACAGATGACCAACATGTCATTCCCATTTTGCCTGTTTCTCTTGTCACACTGGTGGATATTCCTTCATTTTGTTCTACTTTAATATGAAGCACACAGATGTTCCAGAACAAGACTTGACTTTTGACCTTGGGGCTTCCAGGGTCAGGGTGCTCAGGGCCTGTGAAATTATCACAAGCTGAGCTAAAGTTTTTATCCATCGCAGGAAGCAGCCAGTAAATAAGAAGTTAAAAAGGAGCTTTGTCAGAGAGACAAGATGGTCTCAGTAAGGGTCAGCTTCTGTAGTCTGCTGTCTCTGCAGGAGATGCATGCCTGAGAGGAAGAATGTAATATATAAACCATTGGCACATGACATATCTGTCATGCAAAACCAGACCTGAAAATTATATTTAATGTCGCCCGATTGGTTTTTAAAATGAAAAAATAAAAATCAAAGGATGTTAGCACCTGTTTTTTGTAGAGATGGTTTTATATCTGAGGTCTCCACTGAAAGCAGTGTGATGAAACATTACATACACTGTAGCAGATATCATTGAAATAAACCCTGAGCTATTTTATTGCAGTACTATTTTTTAATATTATTTTGTTATGATCTCCTTTCACTTCAACTTTATATCCATATGGCACTTTGCAGTTGCAAAGAGCTCTAAAAGATAAAAAGAAAAGAAGCAGCTGATGGCCAATTACTGTCTTATGACAAATACATATTCAATCACTTCACTTTCTTTCCTGCTTTGTGTGGGGGAGATGATGAAGGTGATAAAGCAGCTATGCCATGTAGCTACTCTACCACTTGCTATGCAAGAATTTTGGGTCAACTGATTCATAAAATTGTAGGTTACAGTAGTAATGGGGACCTGTTGCACAACTGCTCCTTATGGGTCCATGCCTCTTACAGGAGAACAACTTGGAGCATATGGGTTTAATTCAGAGTGAATGTTTCTGCTTAGTACCTTTGCATTTTATTGTGCCTACAGGGAAAAAGAAAACAAGCAAAAAAGTAAAAAAGTAAAAAATCATTTGCTTTTTCAGTGAATATCTTCTAAATTCGCCTTGCTGCAAGGTCTGTCCTGATCCTTTGCAGTCACCTGGACCACAGAGATCACCTTGTCATGGTGTGAGGCTCTCTGTGAAAACCCGATAACCTGGCACAAAGCAGAGAAACCCAGAGAAACCTAATATTAAGCAAAGACTTGACTGTGGTTATTTGTACCATCACATGTAAAATTGGTGTAAAAGGAGGAGAAATTTGTTTACAAACCTTTGGTGTCCAAACCTGGTCTTCATTCCAAATTCCATCTCGCCATAAAAATCAGGCTATGGTTTCATTAAACCAACCAGTAAAACTTAGCTGCAGTTTTCAAATACGTGCTACAGTGTCTAACATTTTTATTGGTCTTTGCAGCTTTTTACTCTACATTTTTGCATGTCTGCCATTGTGAGATGTTAAGAAAAACAGGTCTGTAATATCATGCTTGAATGCACAGTAACTGTTCACCTAGTTACTGCAACGTAGGCACACAATTTCTGGTCATAGATTACTAGGGGAGTAATTGAAAGTGATTGAACATGTGTGTGGAGTAAAGTTCCACCAATAAATGTAATTAGTTGTATTGTTTATAGCTTGGATTATACATGTTAATCATAACCCATATGCTAAAATGTATCTTAATATTTACTAATTAAAACTTTGTGTAATTGAGGTTTGTAATTAAATGTTCATCTAATAATATCCATACCTAAATTACTTTGTGAATACACAGCACTAAAAATAGTTGTTGGGTCACTGAGCTCTGCTAATTACCGATTTGGAAAAACTCAAGGCATGATTCATGAACACGTCTCAGCTTCTTACTTCTGTTATCCCTTACACGGTGTAGTCAGAGATTTATTTTCAGAAGCAGCTTGCTGTAGTTGATGGCAAACTGTGGAACTTTCCCAACTCCTAGCTCATAATAATTTTATGAAATTTAACAGAAAGTGAGAATTTCAAGTTGACTGGAGTCAATTTTATATTTAGTTTACAGAAAATAAGTTTCTGGTACAACGCCTCCTTTAAGGTTTTTCTGCCAAACTTTGTGGGTTTACAATTATTTTGCTTTAAAAAGAATATTTTTCCTTGTCATTGCCTGCATGAAAGACCCATGCAGGAGAAAAGATAATGTGTGTTCCCATGCCTTCCTGAGGGCTGGGCCTGGCTGCATATAGAGGGGATGGAAAGGGTGGTCCTAGGAAGCTGGGTGACATGTAAAACTAGCTGTGTCCATCACTGTAGAAAACACATGACAACCACTCATTTCGGAATCACGAGAAGAATTGTTAAATCTAAGCTTTCAAAATTGTCAATTAGGTATTCAGTACCCTGAGATTTTGTCAGGATTTCTCCTGCTTGCCTCCTATATTTGTGAGACCTTAGGTTTTGTGTTTTCAAGGGTTTCCTCAGCACCTTACAAACCAGAAGTGCAGCTTTTTTGTTTTAATTTTAGTTAAATAATATCTTTCTAAAAAAGAAAAAATGACAAATAACACGGGAATCGTGAGAAAATTGTGAGAATCAGTAGTGGTATCTCCAACTTACAGCATTCACACTGCTGTAAAAATACAAAGTGCACTGGGGAATGTAATATAATTAAATTAGGAGAAGGAAAGTAGGTTCATTGTTTTTGAGCAGATGAGAAACTATTCATTATGGTCTTTGTCGGCTAAAATGTTGGATGTATATATTGACAAAGGTGTAGATAAAAGCATGTCTGTGTGTGTGTATTTTTAGGCAGCTTTGTTAAAATAAGAGTCCTTAAAACACTCTGTTCAAATTACTGTATCTACTGTAGCATCCTAATTCCATCATAATCAGCTGATTTTGTCCATTTGAAATAATTTCAGGTCCATCATTTTGAGATATGCTCTGCAATACACTGCCACTTCATTTTGTTGTACTGTGCTGAGTATAGCGAGGACCTGACCCTGGCTAATGCTGATAGGTGCCATAATAATGACAATGATGAACAGACGCTTGCTGAGCTACCTGGGAGTCTCTGAGGCTGCATCAGTGTTCTGGCACAGGCAAAAAGCAATTTAAGAGCCTTAATGACTGGGCTTTGAACCTGTCATTAGCTTTTCGTTAATTTAATTTCCTGAAATTTCAGATTGAATGGGGGTTTATATTTGGGTTTTTATTTATATATACTTATATAAATATATCTGTCTAGTTCTTTTTTATATTTAGTTTGGCTCAAGAAGTGATGAGCATAGAGCAGATACTGGGGATATGCAACTTTTAATTCCTCTGGCTGACATATTAAATCGAAATATATCTACTGATGTGTGGCAGAAATAACACAAGATCTG